GGAGAGAAAAAGACACATGAACATTTTCTTTATAAGGACTATAATATCTCAATGTTCAAAACAGTCTACATAGCTAACCTAAAAAGTGAAAAATAAGCAAATAATTGTATATCCAATTTTAAGAATTGTGAAAAAAAATATATAAACTGAGGGATGTAGCACAGTGGTAGTGTTTGCCTCGTCTATAAGGCCTTGTGTTCCATCCCCAGCACTACCAAAAAAGTAAAACACCAAAATAAGAGACTTGAGTGTGACTATCTGGGTTAAAACCTTACTCTACACTGGCTGTGTGACCGTAAGCTAGTTATTTATGCTTTGTGTGCCTCAGTTTCCTTATCTGTTAAATGATGAACCCAGTTAACTATCTTCATTAGGCTTTTGTGAAAATCAGTTGAGAGAACATAAAATTGCTTAATGATCCTTTGGCATGTAGTAAACACTCACCATATGTTAGGAATGGTAATAACTTTGATATCTGACATAGCTTGCATAAAAAAATAGTTTCTGGATGGAACAATGTTTTTACTTTCTTCATTGCATCATGTTGTATTTTCCAAATGGAAAAATCAGGTAAATAACATGTTTGTGATTTTTTTTAAAGCATCAATAAAAACAAGGGATACCTAGTATTTAAATGTAATTACATGTGAGAATATACGGAATTATTTGGCACATTGCCTCAATGACACACAAGAGTTATCCCAAACACTTGCTGGGATGGCATTGTTGGGTGCTCATACCCCTTCCTTTATTATTGGTAATTTCTTCCCTATTTTCTCTCACTGGAAAAAATTCCACATTAGTCACCTGCCCAGAGGCCAACTTATTGAAGTTGCATTCTCAATAAACTTTGGATTTTTGAGGGAATTTAATGTGATCATTCAAAGAATGAAAACACTCTAAAAAGCTTTGGTGCTTTACATGTAGTAAGTGTTCTAATTTTCAAAGAATAACTTCTAACTATGCATCACCACCCCAGTAAAACACTGTGTACACTCTTGAGGCCTCCCCCATATTTAAAGATTCATATTCCTTTCAGTTATATGGAAGCGGAGAAGCACCTTTTTAATAATTCAGTTACAGCCTGGACCTATCATAATGTTCTGCATCATAAGTTTTCAGAAGAGACTATCAGAACAGATGTCAAACAAAACTTCAGTAGAGTTAACCTTGCATTCTAATTCTTGGCCACAAGGCCTAAAGCACAGGAGGACTCCACATCTTAGCATACAAATGCACACTGTTATTATTATTAAGTTGACAAGATATACTGTACATATTCTTGCTCTAGATCAGCAGTTCTCCAGTGTAGTCTAAAAACCAGCCGCCTCAGGACAACCTGAGAATTTGCTCTGGCAATGCCCTGACTAGAATCTGAGAAATCTAATTTTGGAGTACTCCTTCTGATCAGACATTTCCCTAGAAATGTGAACCAATTAAGAACAAAACATCTAGCTGTTTATTAAGCACTAGGATAAAAACATGTAGGCAAAAAAGTTTTGGCTATCGGGATAAAGTTCCCCGGGGAAGAAAAAGAACCTTATACAAGTTTCATCTTGCTCTTCCCTAATTAATTGGACAATTTGATTAGATATCGAGAAGTCACCAACCCATGGGCCCACAGCAGAATGGAATGTATGTTGTTTGGGGGTTGTTTTTTTTTGGGGGGGGGGCAGAGGGTGTTTGGGGGGCAGGAGGCCTGGCGACTGAGACCAGTGTGCACTCTACAACTGAGCTACACCCACAGTCCTTTTTATTTTGAGACAGAATCCCACGAAGTTGCTGAGGGTTATCCTTAACTTGAGATCCTCCTGCCTTAGCCTCCTAAATTGCTGGGATCCCAGGACGGAACCACCAGCCCTGGCAGAGTAGAGTTTAAAAGAGCACCACTTAATTAACTTCTCATCATGATAGAAGCAGCAGTCTCTTGGTGGAATGAAACCATGTACAGTTAAGGCTCCAATGCCTCTCTGTGGTCTGTTGGAAAGCTCTGGGAAAGTCACACCATATAAATGAAACGGCAATTATTCATGTACCCGTTTGAATAGTCTTCAGCTTTGAAATAGCTGCTGCTTACCAGTCATGCCATCTTAAAAGAGTTAAACATCAAAAATACCACCTCTTAACCACAAAATACCTCCCATATCACTTTGTACAGGAACTTAATGCTAATTATCATGCTGATAACAGTTTTTGTCCTATGAAGTACAAGAAATAACTAGCTATAAAGAAAGTGTTAGCAAACCAATCTTAACCAGTACTTTTTTTTTTTTTTTTTTGCTCAGTTTCATAGAAGAGCTATGTGGTAGAAACCAACACACAAGGTGTAAAGACTGAGAGAGGTTAAAAAAAATCAAGATATATAATTTGCTGATAAAAATAATGAGGAAAGTATTTACATAAATCAGTGAAAACAAACTTATTGATATACCTACAATATTACATTGCATGGTATGTAAGAGAATTGTGCACACTGTAAATATTTAAATTAAATGAAGAGGAAACTTGGGAGAGTTAGGGGAAAACACACACACACACACACACACACACACACACACACATCACTCTTAAGATGTAAAAGAACACAGAGCCCATAGTAAAACCAGAACTTAATTCTATGTCCTTTGAGCCTATGGGGACATTGCTTCCCTGAGATTTGGTTAGTTTTTAGGGACAATAATACCATTTCCTGAGATTTTTATATGTAAAACCGCCTAGCAGCATAGTCCTTGACACACAGAATGACCAGTGTCCCACTGACTCAGAATTGCTGACTCCTACTTTGTACTCCATGTTCAAGACCAAGGGTACTGGAACATCTGGCACATGGGTTCTCAACAATCACATGATCCCAACCTTCTGAGGGAGAGGAGAGGCAACTGCTCACGCCACAGCTCAGGAAAAAAATCTTCCCACTCGTGCCCTCCAATAGCAAGACAACCACCACTCATGTTCCTGCTCACATGCCCACTTCTGACCCCCAAGACCCTGAAAAGCAGGCACAATTTTTTTTTTTTTTTATCATTTTCATTAAGTAAGAAACAAGTGTCTGGCCCATTTTCCAAGATTCTAAATTCCATGAACAATGGGCCTAGCTTGCATTAGAATACCTCATACAAGACTCCTGCCATCAAGCCAGTCTCCCATCCAAAGTCAAATGGAAGTGGTTTCATTAGAATGAAGACAATCTATGAAGTCAGGCACAGTAGCGTATGCCTATAATTACAGCAACTCAGGAGGCTGAGACAGGAGGATCGAGTTTGAGGTCAGCATGAGCAACTCAGTGAGACCTTGTCTCAAAATAAATAATAAAAAGGTGCAGCGGTGTAGTTCATGAACCCCTGGGTTCAATCCTCAGTACCAAAAAAAAAAAAAAAAAAAATTGTATGAATTAAGATTCTCAGAAAAACCCTATTAGAAAAAGAATACCTGAGGCTAGAAAACTGTATATAAAGCATGAAGGAAGATAAAGAATGCCCCCACCCCCAACAAAAACAAGACCATTTCTTTACCCGGAAACATTTTCAATGTGCCTCCCCTTCTCGGCGGGCTGTGGTTACACAACAAGGAACCAACACTTCCCAGTCTACCTTTTGGCAATCTGCCCTGGGACTTCATCTCTGCCAGTGGACTGGCAAATGGAAGCAATGAAATAAATCCTTTCCCTAGACATCTGTTTCGTCTCCACTGCTGCGATCACACAGCCACATTGTCGCCTTGAGTCCCTGGGTTTTAGATGGGAGAGAAACAAACCCTTGTGGCCTTTAGTCATTTAGTTTGTTATCCCTCTGTCACGGCAACTGCAACTTTAACTTACAATTAGAGAAAACCAGAAGGCAGGTGGATGAGAGAACAGAAAAAGTCAATGCTACATTAATAAGCCACCCAAATCTGGAGCATAAAAATCAACTTCATTATACAATGAAGGGGTGAGAGAGAAATCAGCTTTAGTAATTAGGGGTTTGCCATTCACTTAGTGAAAAGTGAAAATATTTAATACACTTTGTACATAAATATTTCTTTTGGCAAAAAGCAAACAAAGTAACATTTTTAAATATAAAAAAAGGCCTTAATGACAAACGAAAAATATTAAGACAAACTGCCAACAACTTGCTGCATCATAAGAAAATAAGAACATTAAAAATTCCTTAGGTGCTATTTTTAAATAGCTAGGAAAATTGGCTGAAAATTATTAGCCATTCTTTTCTAAAATACAACAGTAAATAACAGGTACATGAAGAATAAGTCACGTAGCCTTTCCAGGGGGAAACATGCTTGGCAACTTATGAAAAGCCTAGGGTTACAGATTTCATCTAATCAAATTAGTAAAACCTTGTCCACAAAGATAAAGACCAAAGAATAATGACAGATTGCAATGGCTGGAAATGCAGGGATAGCCTTAATGAGAGAGTGGGGCTGAGTGCTAGATATGGCTGGATTAAGTAAATTATATAATAGATTAAAATAAGTATTAATGAAATTGAAGCAGGTCAGCATTCCACCTTTCTCTTACGGGGAAATGAGCTCTCTGAGCAGCATAAATTATAATATAAAACCCAAGTCACCTAACATTTTTTGAAATGTGAAGCTTTTGAAGACATAAAATGGAGATTTAAAAAGATGGAACTTTCCAGAGAAAAGAGATATTCTGCCGTCCAATGAATCACCAGGAAAAAGTAGACCTTAATTTGTGACCTTGAAGCACAAGAGTTTCATAACAACAAACAAAAAAGACTCTTGAAGAGTAAGTAACTGTAGTTTCCTAAATTAAACTGCCATTAATATACCTTCAGTTGCTCGAGATTCTTACTCGAGTTTCCGGAAAGTCAGAAGCGTTTGATGGGTTCTGTTTTCACGAGCAGGAGTCCACAACCAAATGCACGAAGAAAGAAACACATTTTCAAACTTCTTCTACAAATGTATGGACTCTACTTATCAAACCCACGTGGATGATCCCAAAGCTTTGATTAACAACAGTAAAGAAGGAGAAGGAGAACCACTTATTGGTACTAAAGGCTTTACTGTATTAAACCAAATATATTTACAATTTATACAAATGTTTAACCTTCAACAAAAATACAAAAAAACATTTCACAAGATGCAAAACCAGGAAACAAGTTCATTGGAGACACCACTGCTCTACAAAGGACGGAACGCAAGGTGAGGTGCAAGGACAGGAAGGAAATCTCTCTCAGGCCAGGTGTGGGCGACAGATCCTCCAGCGAGACGAGAACCGGCTGCAGCTCAGGTTGGCAGATTCCGTTCCTCAGTCCTACGCCCTTGGCCCCTCTGTCCAGGTGGTCGAGGTGCTCCATTTGGTCTAGGTAGGCGACCTTCTGTTGACGGAGTCGTTGCCTCCTCTTTGTAGACTCAAAGTAGTTTTGTGTCAAGGTTTGGAAACAGGTCTGTGTGTGTGTGTGTGTTTTCTTTAAAAGTTACAACTTTTCTATTTCTACAAATTCAAAACATTTTGGCCCAATTCAACTATAAACGTTAAATCACATGTTTTCAGTAGATGACTTCATAGACTGTGGCCTTCTTATCCCCTGAGCCAGTGACTATGTATTTATCATCCACAGAGATGTCACAGCTGAGCACTGACGAGGACTCTTTGGACTGGAAGAGAAAAACAATGGGCAAGTGTTTAATGTGGAACTTGGGTACAAAGGGGCCCTGCTCCCTCCATGGTTCCTTCACTTCTGGTTTCACAGGTGACGCTGTTGTCGAATTGCCATTCTACTAGGTAAGGAGTTTTTACATACCTGGAATATACTGGCTCCATAGGGGGTTCGCCAAGCATTGAGGAGGTTATCTTTTCCAGTACTCACAAACCACTTACCTAGAATTAACAAAAAACACGTAGTTTTTAACAAAAATTAAAATTCCTATGATAGTGTTGGCACCTTGAACTTAATCAAACAGAGCACTGCTATTGCATGAATAATCATATCCAAAGAACTGGTCTATGACCTGAGTAGAGGTTTTAAATCTGGGCTCCCCAGTGAATTATCTGTATGATCCCAGTAGAAGAGGGGTGACAACCTCATTAGTCACTGGATACGACTTGTACGACCATATTCAACACATAGTAGTCCCTCAAATATTGAATCAGTGAAGTTGTTTCACTTTGGACAGTTTCCTCATGACTAAATGGGATTGCAAAGAATTAAATATTGAATTTAATAGGGCATAGTGGCACACTTCTATAATCCTAGTGACCTGGAAGGCCGAGGCAGGAGATTGCAAATTCAAGACCAGCCTCAACCACTCAATAAGGCCCCAAGCAACTCAGCAAAACCGTGTCTCAAAATTTAAAATAAAACAGATCTGGGGGCTGGGGATGTGCCTCAAGCGGTAGCGCTCTCGCCTGGCATGCGTGCGGCCCAGGTTCGATCCTCAGCACCACATACAAACAAAGATGTTGTGTCCACCGAAAACTAAAAAATAAATATTAAAATTCTCTCTCTCTCTCTCTTTCCAAAAAAAAAAACCAGATCTGGGTATGAGTCTCAGCAGTCATGAGACCCTGGGTTCCACTCCCAATACTGCCTAACACCCTGCCCCAAATGTTGAACTTTTGTAAAATGTCAGTCATGTTATACAGCATTTAGATTGTGCTCAATGAATGTCAGCTAACTAATCCCTTTATCCTTTCACCTATCCACCCAGAGCACAAGTACAGTCTCCACATGAACTTTTCTCCTCGCTGTAACATGGAAGAATGAAGGTATAGCTAAAAATCCCCCCCTTTTTAACCCTGGGTTCCTCATCTTGGCCAGTTCACAATGACTTCCACTGTTCCTGACCGATTCTTCTAAAGATTCCTGCCTGCCCTTCTGCATGCAGAGTGGTAACAATTGCCCCACACCCCCACTCAAAACAAGTATGTGTCCAAACCTTGTATTAGGCAATTTCATCTCCTGCTGACTTTTCTCAAATTAGCAAAACAGACTGAAACAGACATTACCATGCTTGGAGGAACATATTAAAACAATAGAATTATTGCATCCAGCTGCTCGGAGAACAACATTTTTTCCAGATAGGATCTCTAACCAGATTTTTTTTTAGAAGTATTTTCCATTTAGGCCATCAATGACCTCCAGTTTCCTTTCAGTGGAACTCACCACAATAAGCAAATTTGAGGGACAGCACACAGCTCTCGTGGAGATGCAGCTGGTACTTGTCAGKCTTGTTCACATGCAGCACTTCCACGTTGCTGCTCTCCATGCCCACAGCTAGCCACTCCCCAGTTGGGCAGTATCCCAGGGAGAAGATCTGTAAGAAGCAGAACAGGGTCACTGATTATTTTGCTCAATAAACTTAGGAAGTGAAAAGGCAACCAGAAAGGCGGGTGGGGGGAGCAGGAGTAAGGACGAGAGGGGATCAGCCAAATCCAGACTGTGGGAAAGTGGACAAGGACAAGAGACCCAGCCCAGACGAACCAAGTGTCAAAAACCTTCATGGAACAGCTGGAAAACTTTGAACACTTCCCTCGTACGTGATGAAATTGAGGAATTATTCTTAATAATAGTGGCATCTGTTTGTGTGTTTTAAAGCCATCCCTATCTTTTTAGAGTCACTGACGGAAATACTCAGGGATAAAATGACATCTAGAATTTACTGTGCTTGGGGTGAGGATGACAGAGTGACAAGACTGGCCATGAACTGATAACCACCAAAGCTGAAGGATAAGCATCTACAAACAGTACTCTGTATTTTCAGATACATTTGAACACTTTATATATTTGTATAAATTTGAAAATTTCCATAATCTTAAATTTTAAAAAAGGAGAAGCCAAAAATAATATCCTACTTATTAGGATATAAGGAAAGGGTACCAAAGGGAAGATTATGAAAAAAAATCAACAAAATGTTAATAGAAACATAAAATGTGTTAGGAGTCCTATTTTTCTGGGCTGCATTATTTTAATGCCAAAAAAGGGTCTGAAAGTGCCAAGTAATGATCAAAAGAACAATTCTACCAGCAGAAAGCACTTAAAATGGCAAGCACACTCTTAACCCAAAACAATTCTAGAGCCAGACACTCAAAAAACTACTTTCCACAATCCACAAAGCTGCCATTTTTATATTATTTCAAAACTCTATAAATCTAGCTGGCCATGAGTCCATTTTTCATAGGATAAGTAATAAGATGGGCATCCACTGAGATAATGCTGCATTTTTTTTTTTTTTTAAGTACTGGGGATTGAACCAATGGGCACTTAACCACTCAGCTACATCTCTCCAGCCTTTTTTATTCGAGGACAAGGTTTTACTAAGTTGCCAGCTGGCCTTGAACTTGAGATTCTCCTTCCTCAGGTTCCTGAGTTGCCGGAATTACAGGCATGTGCCACTGTGCCTGGCCTACTACACTTTTTAAGGCTCCTTGATGCAGCGCAAATGAATGAACTTTCAGAGCTGTTGTGACTTTCCCTACCCTGAATATTCTTCAAGCTCTATTTAAATGAGAATCAAATAATCATCTCTCACTCCACATTAGATGGTAAGAATAGGTACCACACACCAGCAGAGCTGGATAGAGTCTTCACTGTATGAATTCCCTAAACAAACACATCTGGAAATAAAGCAGTTCCACAGGATTTTAGAAGCCACTTGAGGAGTTTCAGGGGGTTTTTGTTAGTTTATTTGAATCAGTTCTCTCAGATTTAACCCCGATCTGTTTGTCCTACTGCCATCATCCTGGGGTGGGAAGGATGTCCCACACAGGCCACCTCAGAGATTCCAGGGCAAGAGAAAGCCAGTCGTCACCTGTGAGGTGAAGTCATGCTGCTGCAGCTGCCGCCCCTCGCGCAGGTCCCAGGACCTGACTGTGTTGTCCAAACCGCCCGTCCAGAGCTTGGTGCCATCGTTAGATATATCAATACAGCTGGCTCCGTCTGTGTGGCCCTGGAATTGCCTGATAAAACAAACCAGATTGAATAATGATTTCCTGCCAGAGCTCAAGGTAAACACTGTTGTGTTGTTAGTTTTGGACTCTCTGTATGTCATCTCGTCAGTGTCTGCTGATGTGTAAGATCAAACTAACCTTCCCCTGAGGAGGAAAGGAAACAGCACCTGCAGATTTTATTTTCTTTTTTCACAATCCAAGGGCTAAACAAATGCACTGCCATTGGAGGTTGCTACCCAGAAGTCAAATATGCTACTATGTCTTCTTTGATGAAATCTGTCTAGAGGAGAAAACTCCTCCCAGCTCTGGAAAGTGTTTAAGTGTTAAAAGAAAACAAAGGACAAACACAAAATCTCAAGTGTATGCCTGAAGGAAAGATTAAGGTACTGTACTTCAGTGGTGAAACTTGAATCCAGGAAAGTGGCTACCTTGTAAGCACTGGGACAAAAGTATTCTCATTCAGTGAGCAAATAAACATGGCAATGCCCTTCCTCCCAGCAAACCATGAGATCACCTGTTTGCTCAACCTTGCTTTCTGAATTAAAAAGAGCCCTGTGTTAGGAAATCTGGACTCCCAGAAACAAAGGGTCATGCTGGCGTCCTGACCTCGGAGGCACAGGGCAGAGACCAAAATAATTACGGAGGCAGATTGGTGGACACTTTGGCAAGACCTTGTCTTCAAGCTGAGCACAAGGTTTTTCATGACAGGAAAATCTCATACAGCATTCAAAAAGCACCACCAAAACCAACTAGGAAAGGGATTTGCTGAGCACAAGTGGCATACAAGGCAACAGGTGGGACCGGCTATGGGGAGGTCACCAAGGCTGGTGGTCCATGATGGTGACTATCAGGGACTTGGTTCTGCAGGCTAAGAGGGAGTTGGCAGAAGTGGCCAGAACAGATCACGATCCACCTTCAGAACCTGGTAAGACCAGACAAAGAAGTGCTTGGGAATTCTGACATTCAGAAGAAGGTTTCCATGCCTTTTCTTCCTCTAGGATGCAAACCTAATTATTCCCACCGAGCTCCAAATTCTTTTTTTGGGGGGATGGGGTGGGCGGCGGGGGGCGAGGGGTACTGAGTACTGAATCCAAGAGCATTCTACCAGTGAGCTACATCCCCAGTCCTTTTTATTTTGAGACAGGGCCTCACTAAGTAGCTGTGGCTGACCTTGAACTTCCAATCTTCTTGCCTCCGCTTCTCAAATTGCTGGGATTACAGGTGTATGCTACTGCACCCACTCAGAGGTCCAAACTTTTAAGATGAGCTTGGAATTTGAAAGAGTATAAGGGAAGGAAAAATTACCACTGTTGCCCTGAGCCAAGACGAGAACCATTATTTCAAAAAATTCACCCTCTATAAGCTATTCTGAATGTCTACACTTGTCCCAGGACCTCTTTTCCCACATGCCCCAAATCTTTCCCCCACTGTAGCCAGGCATAGCATCCCAACCAGGCCAGTACTCCTCCAAGTCCCCCCTACAAGTCCCCCAGGCACTGCCTTGCCTGTGTTTCTTTCCTTCAAACTGTTTTGGCAATTCAGGGATTCCCTCTTCCCTCCAGTCTGACTTCTTTTCATCTCTTCAACTCAGCAAATGTTTAATCCTTCACCCTAAATATCACTCTCTATCAACTCACAGCCCCCAGTGGATGTTCCTCCATCCTACCACCCTCCAAGAGAATATCTCCACATTACTCCCAAGCTACCAGACCAGAAGGCAGAACGTGCAGGGTCACAGGCGCACAAAGATTCTTCATTGCCCTGTCACACACAGCAGTCACATGCAGTCAGTCCAAATTGAGAAAGAGATGTGTCGAGCCCTACCCTCTTACATCTAATAGGCACTGACTTCAAGAGAGCCAGCACAGAGCAGGGGTTCTGGGCACAGACAGGAGAGCAGGATGTCTGGGCTCCAATTTCAGCTCTTCCATATCTGACTGTGTGACCCATGGCAAATAACTCTGTACGTCAGGTTTTTCATCTACAAAATGTGGAGAATAGCAGTGCAGATGTTATGAGAACTAAATGGGCTAATATCTGAAAAGTGCTGACAATTTGAATTTGGGAGGGAGGGAGAAAAGGAGGAAGGAAAAAAAAAATTTAAACCAAGTAACTGTAGCTAGGCTAAAAGGGGCTTTGGGCTCCAGCTCCACAAGTCCATTTTGCTCACTCTGCACTATGTCACAAATGTCATTCGCATGCAGAGACAAAGCTGGGCTTGGTGACACTGGGTTTCTACAAGAAGGTTTAAAGAAAGAGTGCGCTGCTTCGATGATGTCTCTGGGTCATCCCTTTTCTGTGCACACACACAACCAAAAGCATTAGAGGGGGCCAGCCTAATGAGCCACAGGCCTCAAACCACAGCATGAACAAGATGGTTTCTGAGCACAGATAAAATGTGGCAAAAAGCCAAGCACACCCGGACTTCTACCATTGATGTTTTGTTAGTGCTTTGCTTTTAGAAGACTTTCCCGTAATGCTTCTGTGTGAGCACCAGCCAGGGCAGCCGAGCCACAGCAGTTGCCAGGGTGAGGAGGGCAGATTCCAGGAAGCAAGCAGAGCCCTGTTCACTCCTGAGTGGAACGACCCCTAAACGAGTCTTTTATTTACTTATTGAGAAACATGGATATTTTAAAACCATTTTGTGGATTCAATTCATGGACTCTCTTTTTTTCCTTTCTGATGTCCTTTTGTTGACTTTTTTTTTTGGTTATCTTATCAGTTGACTTCTGTTTGCATAAACAAGGTTCTAGACAAGGCCAAAAACATCTAGAACTGAGAGCCCTTCATGCTTCTATGTAATTCATGTTATGCTATTATACCACCCCTTGGCAAAAGCTAAACTTGGCTTCTGTATGCCCACTGAAGAATAGGAACAAGAAAAGGATGAAGTCCTGGTCATCGTCCAGCATAGCACCAGGACCAAAAGTTCCCCAGAGCACCTAGCTCCACACCTGGCACACAGTAGGCTCTTCACAGATGGACTGCTGCCTGGGGGCAGCCAGAGAAGCAGAGGCACAGAGGGGCCTTCTCCTGGGGCCATCCACTCCTCCCTGAGGAAACCGCTGGTGCTCACCTCACAAGTGTCTGGTTGTGCAGGTCCCACACGGCGATGTTGCCATCACTGCAGCATGAGAAGCAGACCTTGGAGTCAGGGCTGATGGCCAGGGCATAGCAGGCTGGGGCCGAGGATGTCAACTCTGCCTTGATGCGAGGGGTTGGAGCAGCCAGGTCCCAAATGGAAAGAGTGCTGGCTTCCCCTCCCACAATGAGAGTGCAGCCATCAGGGAGCAATTTACACGAACGGATATAATTATCTCTATTCTGTGAAATAAACATAATTCAATTGCTATGATGCATTACCAAGCCATAACAGTGCCGCGTTCACTAACTGCTATCATGGGTTTTGACTTCAGAGTGGCATTTCACAGACTCCCATTTCTATAGTAAATATAAGGGCCCAACTGCCACTGTCCCCTTCCAAACAAATTCATAGGCTTGCTCAGTCATGTGTGATGTCAGATCACTGTTCCTGACTCCCTGCCCCAGAAAGCCCTGAAAGTAACCAGGTGGGTAAGGTAGGTCTACATGCACTGCTACACCCAGAAACCACTTTTGAATCTGGTCAATCAATCATTTACCTCTTCCCCTCTGTTTGGAAAAAAATGCAGACCCACTGTGCATGTTCTGGTTTCCATTATTCTTAACTATATCTTTCTTAGTCAGAGGATCTTAAAAATGTAACAGCTGCTTTCTCTAATTGTAACATAGCTTGCTATCCATGTGTGAGCCCCTCAATCCAAAAGCCCAGGAAATCAGTCCAAGAAGGCACCATGCCATCAACCCAACATGTATAAAAAAGGGCCTAATATGATCCACCTCTAGAACCTCAATGGATGTGCTATCCTCCAACTCGAATCCCAATGGATATGCTTAAAAGTGGCCTGTCTTTCAAAGATCAGAGAAACTTTAAGCACCAACTTTAAAAGAGAATAACTCCTACTACTACAGGATATGTTGAAGTGTAAGTTTCATTAAAGGAGGTCTTTGTCTTAAAAATTTTCTTGGTGTATTATAATTACACATACTAGTGGAATTCAGTGCGATATATATGTGCATGCATGTGACATCATTTGGTCAATTTCATGCCCTGAAATTAACCTAAATGTTCCCACTCCTCCTCCCTCCACAGGAGATATTTTTACATTATTTGATTTAAAAAACACAGTAATAACTACCCCAAGTCTGTGTATCTCAAAAACACTGCCACTCTGCTTTTTGGAAACACTGGCTCTGGAATGCTTACACTCTTCCAGTCAGGTAGGGAGTGGGTAAACTGAGCCATCTGAGATGGTGGAAGGCAGGTTGACATCATCCTGGATGGGCAAAGCAGGGCAGCCCAGTTGTCAGTGTGCGTAAGGGCAATGGTATAAAAATAAGGTCTGTAAATCCTAGGGTTACACTTTAGAGACCAGAATATGTCCTAGAGTGTCTATGTCCCAGAAAAATGCAAACTGGCATCCTCAGACGCTGGCTTATGTGCCCTGTAAAAATGTTCCTATTGCTCCTGTTTGACTGACACCCTGATCCCCTGCAGGGTCTCCCTCAGCCCTTTCCTGAACTTAAGGTAGTGAAACCAAACCAGCTCTCCAGCTCTCCCTAACAACACAGACCCTGTTCAGAATGGCTTTCATGCCACATTATCCAATGTTTACTATTCAATATTTATTTGAAGGCTGTAGGGAAATTAAAAGTGGAATGGATTGCAGGGATCAGAGTCCAGGCCTCACTGTGTTTTCTTGCACTCACTGGAAAACCCCCCTCTATAACACACAGCTACACAAGGACAGCTTTCTGCAAACCACTGTAAAATATTTTAAAAAAGAAATCCATCAACACTGGGCTCTAACCACAGCAACAGCAACAAATGAAACCTTCACTTTTAAGGGAGGGGTGGGGGGTTATGCAGCTAACACAGGAAACAGAAGGGGCTTCCATTTCCTCCTAATGGGAATAAAACCCAGGCCTGGACAGCGATTTCCTTATTGAGTCTCGGGGGAGAAATTACCCTTGTGCACCAGTTCCTGCTCACTCACCAGACAGTCAAGCTGAGAGACAGGGCTCTTGTTGCCAGGGTGGCTGATGTCCCAGACCTTGACACAGCCCTTGCCGCCGGTGTACACGTGCCTCGTGGGGTTGCTGATGGTCACTGCACACACCACCTCCCCATGGTTGAGGGTGTTGATCTGGCGAGCGTGTCGGGGGATTCCAGGTCCAATGAGGGCATCGGGGGGAAAGGGCACAGGCTGCATCTGACCGTCTGCAGTGACGTGGAAGGAGTAGGCACTTTTGGAGAGGGGAGAATTGGAGAGAAGAGAGAAAACACACTGAGCGTGATGGAATTAGTCATGACCCCAGCTCTGCTCTAGAAGGAAGGCAATGAACAGCAAAGCTTCCCTTGGGATGGTTCCCCTTTTGAAATCAATTCGAGTTGAAGCCCTTACTGAAGGAACACATCTAAAATAAATGATAGCTGGAATCTAGGACGTGCCAAAAGAAACTTTTCTTGAACTCTATTTTTTTTTTAAAAAAAAATTAAGACTAAAAAACTGTGCTTACCCATTCTATAAAGCATTCTGTCAAATCACATTATAAAACAATGTGCTTCCAAATTAGCATAAAATATCCCCTCCCATGTATCTCATATAATTGTATGATTTCTTAGTATGATTTAAAATGATCATTTTCAGGGTTTAAAATGAAGCCCTTAAGAACTCATAACTACACATAGTAAATCGTGTATTTCAATGCTAATGAACAACAACAACAACAACAAAACAACTTTTAAAACACACTCATTTAAAGCTGAGGCTCAAACTATTTCTAAATAACCAAAAAGAGATTCTCTTACATCAAGTGGCTCTGTGACGAGAGATTTACTTAAATAATTTTTTTAAAGTGAGTCTTGCTATGTTACCCAGGCTGGTCTCTAAACTGCTGGGCTCAGTGGGATCATGGCACATGCCACTGCTCCCAGTAAGACTCTTGTTTCGTTTGTTTAAAGACTTATGTGCGATAGAGATTTTAGGTTTCCTATTTAACAATCTCCCTTGCCTACCTTCATCACTAACCCGTTTAGCCTCAGGCAGCAGAGCTCCCAGCTAAGACTGCTCTTCCCAGCTCTGCTCTGGCCAGGTACTGCCCATATCTGGACCAATGAGGTGTGGGCAGAAGCTGCTGGGTGTCATTTCACCTAAGTTTTTCATTTGAAATACAGGTGAGAGAAGGCCATAAAGGAACTCTGTGCTTTCTGCTCAATTTTGCTGTGAACCTAAAATTACTATTCTAAAAACCAAAGTTTATCAATTTTTTTAAAGTAAAGAAAAAAGAAGTAAAGAGAGGGTATGCCTGGTCTCTTCTCTTGTTCCTTCCCATTGCCTGAACTACAAGCAAGATGACTGGAGTTCCTGCAGCCTTTTGGGACCACAAGGTCTCTTTGAAGATGGAAATTAACTGCTAAGGGAGGGAGAACAGAAAGATAGATGCAGAGACCCTGTTAAACCGTGGGGCTCTGATACCTGCCTTGGGCTGCTGGCAGTGTCTTTTACAGGAAAGAGAAAGAAATAATTTCTATATTACTTAAGCTACAAGGTTGTTTTTCCCCCATTACAAACAAATGAACTGAATCCTAGTTGCACATTTCTATTTCCATGCCAAGAGTTAAATTATTATTTAAGCTCCAAGAAAAGAAAATATTATGGATATTATAAAACATGCACAAAAACAGGAGAGAGGATGGTAGAAAAAAGAAGTGTTTTAACTCCACCTCCGAACGGATAGAATTCTGCATACCCCAGGTGAACATTACAACTTTCCTTGTCTTATCTGAGACATTACCAGGACAGCTAGAAGTTCAAACAATAAATGCTAAATGGAGTATGTACAATCTCCTCCTTCTCACAACCCCACTGGTTAGGTCTAGGTCCTTTCTGGAACTTGTCATTGACACCTTTACATATGTAAACATCATGAGTATTAATGCAGAGCTTAAATTTTCATATTTATTTATTAAATACATGACAATAGTGGAATGCATTACACTCATTAAAATTTTCAATACTAACTCAAATTCTGTCCTATAAATTAGCAGGTACAAAATTGAAAATTGATATATAAGATATCAAGTCTCTACTTGCCTAAGCTTTAAACCCACATACTTTTCCTTGGAAATAAAATGCAGGCTATTATATTCCCTTTATAAAAGCAAAATATCACATACATGGACTTTAATATTTTTCAAAAAACACAATCTTTTATATCTGTTATCTCCTGGAAAACTGGTTCCAATAACTCACTCTTGGTTTGAAAAATGAGCACATATCATGGGAACCATGTATAATATTCTGAGAAATAATTATGCATATAAAACAATATACCTCAAAGCCTGAATCACTGAATCATTACATCTTTTTTTTTTTTTTTTTTTTTTTTGGGTAGTACTGTGCATTGAACTCAGGGTGTCATGTGTACTACTCAAGCACTCTGCCACTGAGTTATATATCCAACCCTTTCACTTTGAGACGGGGTCTCACTAGGTTACCCAGGCTGCTCTCAAACTTGCCATTCTTCTGCCTCAGCCTCCAGAGTTGCTAGGATTATAGGCGTGCACCACCATGGCAGGCTAAATCTAATGTTTTTATCCAGCAAGATTCTTTGGTTGTCTTAGCAATATACAAAGTTTACATAACATTTCAATATATGAATATTACAGTTAGATGAATGGGAAGCTATTACACTTAGTATGGGAATTATATCAATCCTATTCCTACAAGAATTTTGGACTCCCGATAGCTCTAGAAGAGTGAAGTCCAGTGGCTAGCTCTATGACCAGATATCAGGCACCATGACCAGGGTGCAAAAGTGACAAACTTTCTAGGTGATGCTGAAGAAATGACAAGTGAGATTCTACAAAATAAAACAACTGGGTTGTATATATAGCTAAGGAGGAGAGAGGAGCTTCTTCTGAAAGTCCCCCTGCTATGACAGCAATGGCACAGGTGGAGGTAGGTCCTGCCCTCTGTGCACCATCAGTTAAGGTGGGCACCTACTGGTGGGCACCAACTTCCCATCAGATGCCCCTTCGGTAATCCCAGATTTTCAGGGGAAGAAAATTTTATCTTACTTCAACTGGAACCCTGCTTATTATAGAATTGAATGTTCCAGATTAAAATAGATGCACGAAGTACAGACGGGAGATCTGTATGCTGGTCTTTGGAAGACACCCACTTCTCTCCCAGGTGTCCTCTTCTTTAAACTGCACAGGAGGTCTGCGATCATCATACTGAGGCAATTTAAAATTGATTCACAGTGCAGCGAACTGCTGCCAGAAGCTGTGAACATTTGTCTGTCCCAGGGGAAACCCATATGGATGTTAATACATCAGTCAAGGGGGGCCTCTGAGGAAGCAGGCAGCACCCGCTGTGCTGGGGAGCCGCATCGAATGAACAAAGCAAAGGGCTGATGGTCTCAAGGAGAAATCCAGCGGAAGGAAAAGAAGTGGGGTGAATCAGATGTAGGCATCACTTATTCACCTACAAAAATAACAGGAACCTCCTCAGAGACCATATTAATGGCACATTATGACAATGTTAAAGAAGTCTGAAAAGGAAACTTCTCTATTGGTTGATGAATTATAACAAGTGAAAACAATCAAGGAAGGGAATCTATAAAGAGATAGGGGTAAGTCATCCCCTTTATTCATGGAGGGTACATTTCCAAACCCCTGGAGGATGCCTGAAATCAGAGAGCACAGAACTCTCTATATACTTACTGTGCTTTTTTCCCCTGTACATACATACCTATGGTAAAGTTTAATATTCAAAAGAGGCATATTGGGATTAATAAAATTAATAATAAAATCAAATGATTATAGCAATGCATGCTGATATAAGTTATGAGAATGTGATCTCTCTCAAGATTTTTTACTTTTTGCCTTTCCACATAGAGGAAGCACTTCACAGCTTTTCTTTAGTATATCTGAATTGCCAGCATTGCTACTCTTGTGCCTTGGGTCCTCTAGTAAGTCTAATAAAGGTCACCTTAACACAAGCACTGCAGTACTATAACAATTGATCTGATAACTACGGCAGTTATCAGATCAATTGTTATAGGGCAGGTAGCATATACAGTGTGGATACACCGTACAAGGGGATGATTCACATTCCGGGCAGGATGGAGTAGCACAGTGTGAGATTTTATCACACTACTCAGAAATGCACACAATTTAAAGCTTGTGAATTATAGTGGGTGCAGAGGTGCACACCTGTAATCCCAGCAGCACATGAGGCTGAGGCAGGAGGAGTCTAAGTTCAAGCCCAGAATCTTTTGGTGATACCCTGCTTTAAAACTAAAAAATAAAAAGGGCTGGGGATGTGGCTCAGTGGTACAACACCTCTGGGTTTAATCCACAGGACCAACACACACACACACACAGAGTAAATTGTTTATTTCTGGACTTCTGCTTAATACTTTCAGACTGCACTTGACCATGGGTAACTGAAACCATGAGTAAGAAAACTACAGATAAGGGTGAACTATAGTATTTATAAATATCCCTCAAACCTGAATTCAGAATGAGTCCAAACACAAAAGACTACACATGGTATGACTGCATTTACACAAATTCAGACACCAGCAAAGTCATCAGTGATACTGAAGGTCAGGGTGGGGGTTACTGTTGGTGACATGAAGGGAAACATGAAGGCTTTAGGATCCCTGATCCAGGGCTGGTTCCATGGGTGGGAGCCCTTAGTTAAAAGCAGCTGAGCTATACATACATGATACACACATCGTATCTCAATTCTTAAAATTTAGATTCGTTTATTTATTCAAGACAAAGCGGAGAAAAGGCCCCTAACCTATCAGCCATTAGATTAGGTCCACAGCCAAGCTGACAGCCTAGCCTTTGGCATTCAGTGGACCTCACATGCAGAGCTCTGGGTCCCCGAAAGCACCAACTGTGGATTTACTACCTGGATAGCCTGCAGACCGTGTGTCCGTTTCCTGATCTATAACACAGGAATAATAAAATGTAAGAGTTGTCTTATAGTAAAGTATAAAGTTATTAAAAGGATTAAAAGAGATGCCATCTGTGAAACACTTAACAGAGCACTGGACACGTGCAGCATCATTACTAAACCATGACTTTAACAAAAGGAAAGTGGGCTGTGTTGAATCAAGGCAAATGTCTGCCAGTGGGCAAATGTGAGCATCAGGGTGCTAAAGGGGAGGAAGATGCAGAGTGGGAATCGGGAAAGCAGATGAAGAGACAGGAAAATTTAAAAAAA